GCGCCCGCGCGGAGCCGGAGGATGTCGTGAGGCGCCAGGGAGCATCGCTGAACGGCCTGCGCGCAGCGGCGCCGCCTCGGCTTCGCGGGGAGTTTGCGCTGGGAGGTACCGTGTGCTCTATGGAGACGCCCGCCCCGCGTGGTTTGGCGTGTTGGGCTTCGTGGGGAATGGGAATGGAGATGGGGATGGGGTGCCCCACTCCCGTGTGGGAGGCGGAGGAAGTCGTAAATGAATGAGCTTGGCTGGAGGAAAATTTGCCTGAGTTCTCGTCTGTCCGGTGAGGGAAGTTAGGGCAGCTGCTCTCCTGACTTCTCAGGATTTTCAGGCTGGACTTGTCACTGTTCTAGCGATATCCCCGAGGATGCTGGCTTGAAAACATAAACAAGTGAATTACTAGGAGGATCTAGTTGCCCCTTTGGGCTTTTTTTTTCTTTCAGAAGACCGCTGTAGCGGTTGAGTAGCACCTGGAGTAGCTTTGGAAAAGTGCGGCATGCAGCAATGTGCTGTACAAAACCATGACTGATTCTAGGTTGCTGTGTGTTAGTGCAGAAGCTATTAAGTGTGCTTACCTTGACTGCAGGGGAGCCAAGGCCCTTTGAAAATGGTTTAAGTCAAGAGTTTGATTAGAAGTCAAGCCATTCTATTAAATTTTTTTGATTTCATAGATTCTATAAAAATTTGCTTAATGTTTGATTACGTAGAATGTTGGTGCCTCTATAGCTCTGGTTTTGTAACTGGTTTTCCTGCGACTGAGCATGGGATGTGCGAGACGAAGATGGGTAGGTTAACGCTTTCAGTAACTCCTAAAGCGTGCAGCGTGAGGTAGGCTGTGGTTCCTTGCTTACAGAATAAACTTTCTCCTGCTCATGCCTTCTCCTTTAAAATGCCTTTCGCCAGATGCTTGTGTGCATAAATGTGTACATTTATAATGAAGTTAGTGCCAATTGGAGGACCAACCCCCTCCATCTTGTAGGTGGAGGTATTTTGAAATATTACTGTAAAAGCAAGCTTCGTAAATGGAAATAATAACAAACACCTTTAGCTGCTTCTGCACGTATTGTAATTTAACAATGGAAGTCTCTTTGTAGTTCTTTCCTAAAAGATGCATGAGGTAAAAATCAAAAGCTTATGAAATTGTCGACATTATATTTAGACACTAGAGGACCTTTTTATTTTGGGACTGAAGCCCAACAGTTTTTAAAGGTTTCTCGGTGAATATTTACTTAAATTGGTCTTGCCTTTGCTAGCTGTTTTGAGCTGGCATCTTTAAAGCAGAAGTTAAGTTTCAGTCAAAGGACTGTTAAATCAGTTGCTTAAATTTTTTAAAAGAATGGAAGTTGACAAATTGGATTTAAAACATTACTCAAGAGTGATTATCCTGATGAATTCTTGTAATTGAGCACAATCTTAACACTTGAATTCTTCTGGGGAAATCAGCTCTAGACTTGCGTTCTGGAGTGAGTGATGCCATATCCCCCACAAGCAGGATCAGGGATTGCGTGTTTCCTTTAGCAGTTTCTCTGTTTAGTCAGCTATGTTATTTTTTTAGTTAGTTACTTTGGATTTTGTATTTGCAACATTTTCATAGATTTCAGATACATGTGCAAGGTGCTAGCTAGAGAGCAGCTCAAGGGAGAGAGCTTCATTTTTGCCTGAGTTGGAAAAAAATGAAAAGCTTGTAAACTTGAGAGGTGAACCCTTCAAGTTGAATATATACATAGTGTGTACAGAGATAGCTGCAAAGCCAGATACCTCCAGTAGGGTGAATTACTTTTTGTCGTTTGAAAGCTGGGATGTTAAACCAGACTGTTAGGCTGACATTGTGCTGGTATATCCTTCCCTGTTCCACCCTGCTTTTAAACTCCCTGTAGGTTTTAGAACCACTGTTAGCAGTTCTTCGGCTCACACCACGTAGAGATGCTACCTGATTTCTTATGCGTTATTAAATATGAGCTTTTCCAGATGATCTTTTACCCTCTGCTTGCCTATTTTAACCTCTCTTTCTTTTCTTCCTGTTACTCAAAATACACAGTATGGACTTTGAGAGTGTACAGCACATTGCTCCCTGTAGGTTTTAGAACCACTGTTAGCAGTTCTTCGGCTCACACCACGTAGAGATGCTACCTGATTTCTTATGCGTTATTAAATATGAGCTTTTCCAGATGATCTTTTACCCTCTGCTTGCCTATTTTAACCTCTCTTTCTTTTCTTCCTGTTACTCAAAATACACAGTATGGACTTTGAGAGTGTACAGCACATTGGATTTTTTATGGAGTGGATTTTTTTTT